GAGGGCGGCGGCCCCGACGGGCGGGCCGGGCCGGGGCCCGCAGGTAACGTGTGCGCACACGGGGTCCGGGGCCCTTCGTCCTCGTCCCAGCCGGCCAGGCCCTCGGCCTGGGGCGGGGTTGGGTTAGCGCGGCTCGCCGTGCCGGGGGCCCCACCGCAGACACGTCCGCCGCCCCTCGGCCTCGTGTGGACGGGCCTCGCGCAGATTCTGTTTCCCGTGGGACTCGCGTGGCAGCTGCCATCCCGTTAGCCGATACGGATTTGGTAGCACCCCAGCTGTAGAAATAGGACGTGGGTCGTGTTGCGTGTCTGAGCGCCCCGGTCAGGAAAGCCCCTCGGAGGCCACTCGGGAGGGTAGGTGGCTTGTCCCCATTCTACCACCCGCGGTAGGTCCGGGTGGTACAGCGGGTTAGACCCCCCGCCCCGCACAGCCAGGGGACAGCGATAACGCCATACCCTGCGAGCTCATCAGTGACACAGCACGTCCAGGGGCCCTTGGCCTAGCAGCAGAGGAGGCGGCTAGAGAGGCTCACACCCACCGCCCAAAAGAGCCATCTGACTTAGGGTCTCCAACTTGAAAGATTCCTGTTGTGCAGATGTGACCTTGTAGACCAAGTGTGTCGTTTGCTCGGGTCAGGGGAGTTTCCCTCTTTACCGGCAGTGGGAGTACCTCCTTGCCCACTCCTGAGCTTGCCTTGTGTGTCACATGCCTTCGTGTGCACTGGACTTTTTACATGCTCATCTGAGCCTTTGGAGTGGTAGGTCTCCAAAGAGTGTATTACTCCTACTTAAAAATAAACTAAGAAGTTTATTACTCTGACTTTTAAGTGTGTAAAAATGTCAAAAAATGGCTATAATGTTGACTTGGAGACTGCTGCAAGTAGACCTTTTTAACCATCCATTCCTTCCTATATCCATTTACTCAATAAACGTTTATTGAGGAACTTCTGTTGGCTGGGCCCTGCTGGGGGTAGCACAGTAAACAAAACAAGCCAGACAAAGCCCCTACCATCGGGGGCTTTGGTTGGTATTGACTTTGACCCCATGGACAGCCGGGACCTTAGTGTCTAGGGTTTCATTTCATGTGAGAGTGAGAGATGGAACAGAAGGGGTTCATTTGGAAAAAGAGGACTGACAGTGTCTTCCCAGTATAGAAGGGTCCTGTGGAAGAGACATTGGCCTTGCCTTGTACACAGGGCTCCGTTTTATATCCACGTGCAGTACTGTTGTGTAGTGTGTTTTGGGCCTGGGGTGGAGGGGCAACAGAGATTTTCACTTAAAACTTAAGTGCTGTCAGAAAGCTTCTCCAAGTACATGGTATGATTTTTCTACTTATTCTAGTTTTCTTCATTGTCTTACAGTTTTATGGTCTTTATTATATAGGGCTGAATTTATATTTACGTACATATATTTTTAATTTTCCTTTTTACTGAGGTGTAACTTCCATATGAAGGTAGAGTGCACTCATCTTAGGTTTACTGCCTGATGGGTTGTTTTTTATGTAGACATCCTTGTGGCCATTATCTAGAACAGCATGGTAGGGAGTCATCCATGCTGTAAATAACAACGTGTGTTTGGACCTTGGATTTTGCTGAATGTCTTTGTAGTGAAGCAGATGACTGTGGTTCTCCTTCATAGTTTCCCAATTTTGAGATATTCCTACATTCTGGGATAAATTAGAGTAATTGCATGCTAAGTTTTTTGATACAATTTTTTAAATTTCAGTTTGCTAATATTTTACTTAGGATCTTGCTTCTATACTCTTAAGTAGGTTTGGCTCATTGTTCTCTAGGCCCATCCACTTTTTAAAAATTATCCTTGTCAGGGTTGGTGTCAGGAATGTGTTAGTTTCATAAGGGAAACTTCCTACCTTTTAAAAATTTATTTCTTGGGAGTTTGAAAGTACCCAGTGTAGCTGGGAGAGAGGAAAGGCTTACTGGAGACGGCATCCCCTTTTGGGTGGCCTTGGCAAGATTTCCCTGAGTTGACAGGAGCCCCTCTTTTCAGTGCAGGTCCTAATCTGAAGGAGTGGCTGAGGGAGCAGTTTTGTGATCATCCACTGGAGCACTGTGAGGACACGAGGCTCCATGATGCAGCCTATGTGGGGGACCTCCAGACCCTCAGGAGCCTATTGCAAGAGGAGAGCTACCGGAGGTGAGCTTCACTGTCCCAGGCCTGGTCCAGGTACTCGGGGCCCCTGTGGGTCTGCATGAAGCTGCGGCTCACAGTCTGGTTTGCGATGACGACCCTGATGCTCGGCGCGATGACGACCCTGATGCTCGGAGGAATGTGTTCCAGTTTCACAGGATGGAAATAAAAAAGGAGACTGCAGAAGCGTGGTCAGAGTGGTAGGAGACAGCCAAATTGTGTGGGCAGGGAGACCTGAGTTCAAGTTCAGCTCTGTCATTGAATTTTATATTTTCTGGCAACTTCTGGCTCTCTCTCAGCGTCAGTTTCCTTGATGTTACTCTTGAAGGCAGCACTGTTACCCTCTTCAGTAGTGGCCCTGTCCTCTCTTGAATCTCTTGTGGCTCTTTATCCTAAGTGGTCTGTACATTTACATTCACCTTCCTTAGGTATTTTCATCTGGTTCTCTCTCCTCCCTAGCTACTCCGGCCCTCAGTAATCTATCTCCAGGACCTGGGGCTCAGCCCCAGGGCAGCCGTCTCTTCACCATGGGGATATGGTGCACAGGTTCTGCAGGGTAAAGATATGAAAGCATTTCAGAAAGTCAAACACAGGTGGAGGCATTATAAACCAGAGGATGACTAAGGGATTGCCCTCCTCTGTGAGTCTTTATTGCATATTACCTGCGTGAGAGAAGGGAGCAGGCTGTTTCCTGGGGGCGTCTCTCACGAGTTCTTCTGTGCTTTCTCTGCAGCCGCATCAATGAGAAGTCTGTCTGGTGCTGTGGCTGGCTCCCCTGCACACCGTTGCGCATTGCAGCCACTGCAGGCCACGGGAACTGTGTGGACTTCCTTATCCGGAAGGGGGCTGAGGTGGATCTGGTGGATGTAAAGGGACAGACTGCCCTGTATGTGGCTGTGGTGAATGGGCACCTGGAGAGCGCCCAGATCCTTTTGGAAGCTGGCGCCGACCCCAATGGAAGCCGGCACCATCGCAGCACTCCAGTCTACCATGCCTCCCGTTTGGGCAGGGCCGACATCCTGAAGGTTCTCATCAGGTTAGTGCTGCCGTGGCTCATGCCTGCCTGAGAACGTGGCTCTATCCCTACCTGGGCCCTGCATTTGCTTTTTTTCTTTCTTAAAATTAGGCTTGTTAGAGGATTTGTCTATTTTGCTAGTCTTTGTAAAGAGGTTTTTCTTAGCTTTATCAGTTCTCTTATTTTTTTGCTCACTGATTCATTTTATCTACTTTTATCTTAATTTTTTCCCTAACCTTTGAGTTGAATGCTTATTCATTTTGTTCTCAACTAATGTAAACTTTCACAGTTATTAATTTACCTTTGACTAGAGCTTTGGCCATATCCTCTAAGCTTTTTCCTTATTTTAAAAATAGCTATAATTGAAGTTGATTTCTTCTTTGTTCTTAGAGTTATGGAGGAGAGTTTTTAGTAACATTTTTTATGGACTTCTAATTTTATTGTATTGTGCTCAGATAATATGGACCATATAGTTTCTGTTTTGGGGATTCTTTGATTCTTTTATTGTTTAATGTCAGACTACATTGTTGTGGATGCTTGAAACAAATACATGACCATATGTGTTTTATTTGCCTGGTGTAATGTATTAGCCTAAATTATTTTATTCAGAGTCCCTCTCTCTTTTTTTACATTTTTGCTGTTGGATCTGCCACAAACATAAAGTCAGTCTCTAGTCATTGTTGTGATTTTGTCAGTTTCCCTTTGTATTTGGGATAGTTTTTGCTTCGACTATTTTAATGCTAATTGAGCTCATAAAAGTTCTTGCTTATGGATTATGCCCATTATCAAAACAAAAGAGTACTACTGGTTTCATTTAAGGTTTATTTACATAGTATTATATAATATGTAGTTTTAATCTTAGTGAGTTTAAGCAGTTCTGTGTGCTGATAGAGAACTACTTGACAGTCTAATTCTGTGTTCTTTAATACAGTTAACGTTCTTGCCATAGCTGATGTTAGGGTCTATTTCTGTTATTTTTCTGTTTCTTCACTGTTGCTTTTATTGCATATCTTTTGTTCCATACTTTCTTTGCTTTCCCTTTCCATTATATTTTCCCTTTCCATTTTATTTTTTGGCAGGGGGCAGGGCTGGCTGGTACAGGGATGGTGTTGTTAGTACCACATTCTCCCGAGTGAGCTAACCAGCCAGCCCCTTATGGTCTTATTTTAATTGTACTAATGGTAACCTTTATTTATTTTTTTTGTTTGAACCGGATTGTGTTTTCATTTTTCATGTTTCCAGTGATTTCTTTCTACCAAAGATGCTTTCTTCCTTCCCTTACTTAGGGGCCAGATGGTTGGGTGGTTGAACAGAGTGCAGTTTAGTATTCCCTTCACCCTGCACAGAACATGGTTTCTAAATTAGGTACTGAGAATACGTTTATTGCACCAAAGGTTTTATATATTAAATGGCTATGGAATTAGCTTTTAGGAAGATAAGTGAGAAAGATAGGTTTATTAGAGAGTGGTAAAGCTGTGAGGCTTTTTTCTCTTTTTAAGGATTTCTAGCCTGATAATCTAAGCCACCTCAATCCTATACTTTTGCATGTTTGCGAATGTAAGTCATTAATTTGGAAATGTTTTTGAGTAGGATCAATCAATGAAATTCCATCTTGGTTCCAGAGATTCCTTTGGGCATTTCAGTCAGTTCATGATGCACAACTGCTTTGAGTTACCTGCAGGCTCGACTGTGTGAAGTGCATATGCAGATGCCCTTCTTGAGAAAGCACTGCTAGGACATCTTATTCCCTCGCGGAGCACAGGTCATTACTTTATAGTGAGTTACCAAGAACAGATATTATTCTATTGCAAAGTTTTCTATATTCTAAATTCCAAGATAATTGGGGCCGGCCCAGTGGCGCACTGCGCTAGTGCGCCACTTGGGAAGCGCGGAGGTGCTCCCGCCGAGGGTTCGGATCCCACATACAGACCAGTTCCCGCTCGCTGGCTGAGCGAGGCGCGGGGGCAACACGGAGGGTTGCGATCCCGTTGCCGGTCCCGGTCCGGTACGGGGGTGACACTGAGGGTTGCGATCCGTTGCCGGACACGGAAAAAGACAAAAAAAATAAAAATAATTTAAAAAAAAAAATAAATAAATAAATTCCAAGATAATTGGGGCCGGCCCAGTGGCGCACTGCGCTAGTGCGCCACTTGGGAAGCGCGGAGGTGCTCCCGCCGAGGGTTCGGATCCCACATACAGACCAGTTCCCGCTCGCTGGCTGAGCGAGGCGCGGGGGCAACACGGAGGGTTGCGATCCCGTTGCCGGTCCCGGTCCGGTACGGGGGCGACACTGAGGGTTGCGATCCGTTGCCGGACACGGAAAAAGACAAAAAAAATAAAAATAATTTAAAAAAAAAAATAAATAAATAAATTCCAAGATAATTGACTTTTAGAAAATGAGAGTGATATGGTTAAGTTTTACTGAACAGATAATATTATTTGAATATAATCTAAGTTTAACTCCTGCATTCCTTATGTCATTTCCCTCATAGGCAGGGCTCTCATTTTACACTCTGATAATGTTCTGTCCCTTTGTAAGTAACCTCCATTTTGTTATTTGTAAATTCCCTTGATAAATATTGCTGATGTTTTAGAAAAAAGGGTAAGGAGTGGTACTTCTATATGTGCAAAAGTTGCATAGATATGTTGAGTTATCCCAGTGGTTCTTTGCCAGTGATATTAAAAGCAATAGAGGAATTTGGAAAATATTCAGGAGTAAAATTAACTGGATCTCATCCAGTATATTTTTATGAGTGGATGAAGGGCTGTCTTTCCCATAGCTCAACTAACACCAGATTGTCATATTGCCCAAAATTACAAACGTTTTGGAAGATGTGTCCTTAGGAATAAAGAAGAAAAAAAAAATCTCTACTTGAAATCTAGTTTTCCTTTTCTTAATTGCTGAGTGTGAGAAATGAAATATCACATTTCTGATTGGCTTTGTATGTGTTTCAGAATGTTTCTCCTGTCACTCTTAGAATATCTAAGAGAAAAGGTGATGTTTACGTTTCTAGTTAGTGGAAGCTTCATTGTCATGTGAGCATGTTGGTTTGTGTGCCTGTGCTCAGCCTATCCTACCTGAAAGCAGCAGTTTTGGTTCCATGGGAAAGTTCCTTTGGACACTTGGAATGGCGCTGAAGGGGCAGATTATAAAACATGATTGCTGGCTCTGACTGTTGGCCAGCCATTTTTTTAATAAGGCACGGAAAATGATGTTGGATTCCTGCATGTTGGGCCCATCACCATGGTTTCCTACATATTGCCATTTCCTATTTCAAATGATATACTTAGGGGATGACCAGGCTTGTGAGACATGGCAGGACTGTCTGGGGCCAGTGAAAGCTCAAGGAAACAGGTGCTGGCTGTCTTACGTTTCCTCAGCTTAGAGTCAGGTAATGCACCTTGGGCAGGAATCTCACAGAAGTGAGCTTGTATTCTCAGTACCTCCTCTCAGGTTGTACATGATTTCAGTTTGTCTCATTACTGCTGATATTCACTCGATCTTTTGATTAAGGTGTTATCTGCCAGGTTTCCCCTTTGTAAAGCTATTCTTTTCTTTCTGTAATTAGTACATATTTTGTGGGGAGGTACTTTGCAACCATGTTCCTCATCTTAAATTTTTAATTTATTTATGTTAGCATAGACTCATGGTTTCTTATTTTATCCGAGTTACAATCCATTATTATTGTTACTGGTTACTTATTTTGATGTTCAGATTGTCTCAGATTTGGCTACTGGTAGCCTCTTCAAGGCAGCTCTGTGTCCTTTTGATGTGTCCCCATTATCCTTTGAGTAGTTCCTTACTTTCTTATGTAACACAATATTCTAGGCTCATTTTGTACTTTGCCTGTCTCAGTCCTGGAATATGTCATTTCTCCAAGAGTCCTGGTTTCTTTTAGTGAAGAATGGTGTGTAGAAACCAAGGTCTGAACACTAGGAGTGCTTATTGCTTTTGGGTTGTCACTTGTTTTCAGGTCCTGCTACTGAAACAAGCTAAGGTTAAACATACATGCCACATTTCTGTCTGTATTTCTATATATATACATTGACAGGAGTTCACCTTGACGCCTCTAATCCATTCTAATACCACAAGGTTCATTCTAGTTTTCTCTCTTTCCAAATTTATTATTTTCCTTTTCAACAGTGAGAGGTCTGGTTCCTGTTATTGTTGATGTATTTACTTATGTTACCAATCCTTCATATGTAACCAATTTCCTGTTGCTGCTCCCCTTCCCACACATGCCTCCTCACCCCATTTGGGCTCTGACATCCCATGCCAGGCAGCCATCCTTAGCAGGTGCCTTCCACACTTTGCCTTCCTCACTTTTCCTCACTTTCTAACCCTCTGAGCTAGAGGCCGCCCTCGCTGCTGTAGTTGGCTGACCCATGTTTAGAGTAAAAATAATTGGTGGTTTACACTTGGCCTGGGAGACATCTGAATGCCTGATAGAGAGCATATATTTGGGTGTCTGTAAGCACAGTGACAAAGGCAGGTAAAGTTCTGCCTTTAGAGTCATTTAGAGATTGGCACTGGTAGAGGTTGAAGCTTCTAAGTCAGGTGGCTCCTGCACCCGCCCTGTGTGAGATTCGTTTCCTCACACCTGAGCTGTCACTGGGGGTCAACACAGGACAGCCCTAGGGATTGCCTCGCTGACTGCTGTGTGCATGCCTACAGCGGAGGCCTGCTGGTGAGCTGTGCATCCTGCCCAATGACTCTGATGCTGGGAGGGCTCTGTGATAATCATATGAGTCTGGGTGTTTAGTATGACTGAAAAGAAGAGCCACCCCGGTGGGCAGTACATGATGGTACCCACTGGATATGCAGTTGGGTTCATTTGGGTTTTTTGCTTTCAATTTTTAGAAATTGCTTTTTACTTAATTTTGTTGTACAAATCTATAAAACAAGATACGTTTAAAAAAGTCTAGCTTCTATCCTTGTCTCCTTTGTCCTATTTTTTTCCTCCCCTATATACAACCATTTAAAAAGTTGTATGGTTTATCATTCCATTGTTAGAAATAAGCAAATGTGTGTGCGTCTAGGTGTGAGTCATACACACAGAGACGTACTGCAACCACCTTCCCCAACTGAAACAGCAGCATGTTATATACTTCCCTCATCCTGCTTTCCTCACGTACTAATGTGCCCGGGACGACATTCCAGCACAGTCTGTGGGGTTACTCCTCTTTCCTTTTCATAGCTCTACAGTGCTTCTGTGTTTGGGTGAAACACAGTTCATTCAACCAGTCCCCTATTGGTAGGCATGTGGGTGGTTTTGTCTCTTTAGCTGTTACAGATAGTGCTTTAATAAATTGTCTTGTGCATACATCTTTCTGTAGTTTTGCAAATGTGTCCTGGGAATAGATCCCAAGAAGGATGATTGATGGGTCAAAGGGTAAATGCAGATGTAATTTCGATAGCAATTGTCAAATTCCCCTCTGTAGGCATTGCTCCATCTTGCATTGTCTCAGCAGTGAATGAGACTTTGTGTTTCCTTAAAGCCTGGTCAATAAACTTTTGGATTTTTCCCAGTCTGATATGTGAGAAGTAGTATTTCAAGGTATTTTAATTTGCATTTCTGTTGTTATGAGTGAGGCTGAGCATCTTTTCATATGGTTAAGAGCCATTTACAACTGTGCATATCTATAGCTCAATTTTCAATAGGGCTGTTGATCTTTTACTTTTATTTTTTATTTTTTGGCAGCTGGGCAGTAACAGGGATGGAACTCTGGACCTTGTTATCAGCACCACGCTCTAACCAACTGAGCTAACCAGCCAGCCCGATCCTTTCCTTTTAGAAGCTCTTCATATGTTAAGGATATTAACCCTTTGTAATATTTTCCCCAGTTTTTTATTTATTGTTTTACTTTGCTTAGCCATTATTTTTGCAACACAAAAGCTTCTTTTCCTTTAATGTTTGTGTTAAAAACATTTTCTCAGGCCGACCCCGTGGCTCACTCAGGAGAGTGCAGCGCTGGGAGCGCAGCGACGCTCCAGCCGCGGGTTCGGATCCTATATAGGAATGGCCGGTGTGCTCACTGGCTGAGCGCGGTGCAGGGCAATCCCCTTACCGGTCACGGAAAAGACCAAAAAAATAAAAATAAAAAAAAAACCATTTTCTCTCTGGATGTTATGTTGTAGACAGATTTTACTTGAAGGTTTTCTTCTAGTTTCACGGTGCAGGGCAATCCCCTTACCAGTCACGGAAAAGACCAAAAAAATAAAAATAAAAAAAAACCCATTTTCTCTCTGGATGTTATGTTGTAGACAGATTTTACTTGAAGGTTTTCTTCTAGTTTCTGTATGTTTTCATATTTTAAAGTTCTGATCCGGGCCAGCCCGGTGGCGCACTGGAGAGTGCGCTGCTTGGGAGCGCGGAGGCGCTCCTGCCGAGGGTTCAGATCCCATGTGGAGACCGGTTCCCGCTCACTGGCTGAGCGCGGTGCGGGTGCAACACTGAGGGTTGCGATCCCGTTGCCGGTCAGTAAAAAAGACAAAAAGACAAAAAAAAAAAAAAGTTCTGATCCATGTGTAATTTATCCTGGTGTGTGCTGGGGTAAATGGATTTAGTTTTTTTTTTCCGTATGGATATCCAGTTGTCACAAAAAATACTTATTAAGAAGCCAATTTCTACCCTATTTATTTGAGATGCTGCCTTTATCATATACTAAATTTCAATATGCAGTTTGGTCCCTTTCTGGATTTTCTGTAAAGTTCTATTCTGTCGATTTGTCTATGTACTAATACTGAACTGTTTTATAGGCTTTTATAATAAGCTTTACTTATGATAGGACTACCTCCCCCTATTATTGCTTTGCTTTTTCATCTTGTTTGATCTTCCAAATGAACTTATAATCAGCTTATGTGGCTGCAGTAATGCTGTTTTTATTTATTTGTATTTGTAATCAACTTAGTTCTAGGAATGATAATTTATAAAATAAACTTAGGGAAAATTGACATCTTAATGATGTTGAGTCTTCTTGTCCAATATTGTGGTATGTCTTTCTATTCTCTTAGGTCTACTTTTGAGACTTTCAATAGTATTTTATCATTTTCCTCTTGCAAATTTTGGATATTTGCTGTTTATGCTTAGATATATCATTTTAAAATCTATTTTGCTATCATAAATGGGGTCTTCTCTTCCACTTTATCTTTAAACTTGTTTTTGTTTGTATATATGAAGCTTATTGATTTTCAACCTGCTACTTTAGTAAATTCTCTCATTGCTTATTAGTTTTTTTTTTTTTTTTTTTTTTTTTTTTTTAGGGGCTTTCCAGACATATGATTGTATCCTCTGAAAATAGGGAAGATTATTGTTTATTTAGGGCTTTCCAGACATATGATTGTATCCTCTGAAAATAGGGAAGATTTTACCTCCTTTTTTCCAATCTTATTCATCTAATTGCTTTCTCTTGCCTAATTGTACTGCCTTCAGCACCAGTGTTAAATATGATCCCAGGAAGTGGGACTCTGTTGTGCTCCAGCTTTAGCAGGAGTGCCTCTAGCAGCATTTCCCCATTAAGTGAGATGCTGACTTTTAGGATAGCTATCACTTCCTATTTTATTAAGTATTTTTAAACATGCATAAGTGTTGAGTTGTCATATTCCTCCTCCACCATAGACTTTTAAATTGATACTTATAAGTGAAATTAGTTGGTAGTTTTTCTTTATGGTGTAGCCTTTGTCAGGTTTTGAGATTATTGTTGCACTAATTTTATACGATGAACTTGGAAGTTTTCATTCCACTTATTTGCTCTGAAATAGTTTAAATAGCCTTGGGACTATTGGATCTTCCAGGATTTGAAAGACTTTCCTTAGGAATTGTTTTGTGAGGGTGGATTCTGGGTTTTTACCTGCTGTCTTATCTTGCTGGAAATAATGAAGCTATTTGTGATCTATGGAGTCTCCTGGCTCCCAGTGTCACTGAATTAAGGCCTTCCCCTGAGGGTGGCTGTGGGGATCTTTGTGGGCTGTGGTTAGTGCACTGCAGGGTCTGATTTTCCTGCTTTCCCCCATAGGTATGGGGCTGATGTTGACATCAACCACCACCTGACTCCTGACATCCAGCACCCATATTCCTGGAGGCTCACCTCCTTGGTGGTCTGCCCCTTGTACGTCAGTGCAGCCTACCACAACCTCCAGTGCTTCAGCCTGCTCCTCCAGGCTGGGGCGAACCCTGACTTCAACCTCAATGGTCCCGTCAACACACAGGGGTTCTACGGGGGCTCCCCTGGCTGTGTAATGGAAGCTGTCCTGCGCCATGGTTGTGAGGCAGCCTTCGTGAACCTGCTGGTAGAGTTTGGAGCCAACCTGAACCTGGTAAAGTGGGAGTCACTGGGCCCAGAGTCAAGAGGCAGAAGGAAGGTGGACCCCGAGGCCTTGCAGGTCTTTAAAGAGGCCAGAAGTAAGTGGCCTGAGTTCAGCTCTGACTTGTAGTCTGTTTGGATTGATGGAATAAACCAAGATGTAGCAATTAAAAAAAAAAAAAATCCTGCTAAGCATTTGGCCAAAATCTTCAGTTAGAACTAGCAGTTTCTAGAATGGTCATTCAGATTGGTCTTCTTTTTTTTAAATTCCTAGACACTAAGAGTTTGTATCAGTAAATCTATAAAAGTACATGTGTTTGCACGTTCTTAGAATGATACCCTCTTTACCGTTTTACTCTGCTTTGTGACCCCAAATTCTTAAAGACAGTGAATTTTATAGGTGATTTTTAAATGAGGTCCTACAACAAATTATAAGCCCATTCCCAGGGCTTCTGTTTCTTCAGTTCCACTCAAATACCGTTATTTTAGATTGTGTCATGTCTAATTTTTGTTAGAATAAAGTCCATAGCTTGCTTACTTATGAAGAAAAATTTTGCTAATGAATTAATAAATCGATAGCAAGAGAGTTTGGAATTGATCATGGCTTGGGCTTGTTACCAGAAGCTGTTTGGGATTCAGAAATTAACCTTGTGCATCCTCTGACCACCTGCCCACAAGCCCTTTCCTGCCTTGGTCTTGATGGTATTTGAGTTGATAACCTCTTTCTTAACCCCTTACCTCTCACAGAACTTAAGTTCATTTTGTTTTTGTAATTCGATTTCCCTAAACCAGTTCGTTGAAACATGCTCTTGTTTAGCCTTCCCCAGAATAGTTGGTTAAGGGCCAAGCCCGTGGCGCACTTGGGAGAGTGCAGCGCTGGGAGCGCAGCAGCACTCCCGCCGGGGGTTCGGATCCTATATAGGGATGACCGGTGCGCTCACAGTGCTCACTGGCTGAGCGCGGTGCGGCCGGTCTCAAAAAGGACAAAAAAAAAAAAAAGAATAGTTGGTTAATGGTCAGTTTGGTGTATTAGTCCATTTCTGTTGCTTATACCAAAATACCTGGAACTGGATGAGTTAGAAAGAAAATGAAATTTATTGCTTACAGTTTCAGAGGCTGGGAAGTTCAAAGTCCAAAGAACACATTTGGTGATGGCCTTGGTTGTGGTGACAGTGACCCAGGGGTTTCACATTGTAGAAAATGGCAGAGCAGAGAGACTAACCTCTTAGGTGCTCTTCTTTTTAAGCCTTCAGAACCACGCCCTGACCACTATTTTTAATCCATTCACTATAGCATGATCCTACGATCTTATCTCCTCTTCAAGACCCCACCTTTCAATTCTCATAATAGGATTTCCCACCTTCAGCAGTTACAGTGGGAATTAAGCTTCTAATATATGAACCTTGGGGACACAATTCTATCAATCCACAGCAGTTGGGAACCACATTGGTAGACTAAAGCTGCTTGTGTTCAAGACTGTTTCACTTGTTTTTTTTTTTTTTTTTTTTTTTTTTTTTTTTTTTTTTTTTTTTTTT